AATTTATTGTATGATAGAACATTTTTCCTCAGGTTGAATCTCTGAATATATATTGGAGCCTTGCCCTCTTCTTCATGCTAGCAGAATCCCTGAATATATATTGGAGCCTTGCCCTCTTCTTCATGCTAGCAGCCTTACCCTCTTCTTCATGCTAGATGTAATCAGCCCATATGGAAAGTACAATGTTTGGGAAGGATCAGGCAGCATACAAATTTAACTAATCACAATCTATCAGCCCAAACTTAATAACTGTTGGTAAGAAAGACAAAAAACTCTAGATAGTGGACATTGGTGTCCTGGAGACAGCAGAGCAGAAGAAAAAGAACTGGAAAATCATTGCATAATATAAATACCTGCAAATAGAAGTAGAATGACTGTAGCAAAAGAAATAAAGATAGTAATAGCGACTTGGATGCAATCCCAAAACAACTGGAGCACCACTTGAACACTGTTGGCACTGACAAAATCACCACCAGTCAATTGCAAAAGGCAGCTTTACTTGGAAAAGCTTACATCCTGCAACGGTAGCTTGAACACCAGCAAACAACAGTATCTGCCTGTGCCAGATCTTTGGGAAGGACTTGGTAGGAAAAGTGGATTAAAATGCCAAATCCAGTCTAAACATCTAGCTGATTATGCAACCAATCATCATAATCATCATTGTTTTATATTAACTGGTGGTGGTTAGAAATATAAGGATATTAGCCTAAGGATATTAAAAGTATTCACTTAAAACTTCTTAATATTCACAAAATAGTGTAAATGCTTAAGGCACGAAGTCATGAGGGTCTGCAGGGAGGCAAGTGAAGTGTTGAGACATTATCAAACAAATTATGTGAAGAATGCAATTAATTTGCATCAATGTGTGATATCACCGACATAATTTGTTTCATTTGTGTGATGATTACCATGACAAATGAGATATTATTGTGGCTTGTATGGAACTTCTACACAAGAGGTCTCTGACCAATAGATGTATTTTTTCACTATTTCCATTGTGGCTTGTCCCAGCAGCAGCAAATAAATAAGTGTTTGATCTACAATATTTCAACAGGAGAAATATTGCCTCTAGGAAAGACATCTGGATGTCTGGCTCAATTAAGTCACAACTGCCTACCTCTCCCTGTTGTAAACAAAAATAACAAAACCAGCTTTTCCCTATGCCTTTGTCACTTACTATCACCATACAGTATTAACAGTTCCTAAAATGTCCTCAGATGTATTTCTGTTTATTTAATAGAAAAAAATCCCACACTGGGAAACCCTAGAGTTGGAAAATTGGGGCTGTAAAGCATTTAATTGTCGCACTGTGACACATACTGATGGTTTTTCAAGATTCCCCCAACTGCTATCTGATCTCTTGCTCTGCTTCCGTGTGTGAACAATAAATGGTCTAATAAATATAGGATCTTTTCCAGACCCAAGGGACATGTAGGCTATTAGTGATATATGTTGGTTGTATCTTGACTGCTCAGAAATGAGTATATATTGTGAATTCTGCCTCAATGGTATTAATAGAAGAGATTAGTCAGAGACAGTAGCTTGTTCTTTCAACACATGAAAACTGAATGAAGACACAAAGCGGAAAGCTACCTGTTGTGTTTTCGGTTCGCTAGCAATTGACGAAGACGCATGGTGAAAACAACAAACTCTTTATTACACACTCCTACAACCAAGTAAGCAGCAAAAGGCACGCAGGCCTTTTATAGTGCCTGAAACCCGGACAGTGTGAACCAATAGGAATTTACCCTTTTCGTGCCTTGCGCATGTGCACAAGGCTGGCGCCATTCTGCCTGGTCCCGGGCAGCTTTTGGGATTGCCAGAGACCATTTGCAACAATTCTGAGCCTGCTGTCAGCTCTTGCAGGCTCAGGACACAACACTACCTATAATAGAAAGGATGGGGACTGCATCAGCTTATCTGGCTTTGGTGGGTATCCCCGGAAGGAACAATTTTAAAGGATAATACTGCAAAAAACCACCATTAGGGATGCAGTCCTAGACATACCGGTATCTACTAAAAAATGAATCCTACTAGGTTTCTTCCCACTCATTCTAAATGAATTCAAAATGATTTATTTCAGTAGGTATGTATACATTTGATCTGTAAATCTGAGATATTTAGACTTTTCCATGACCCCATGGCAATGAGATCCCACTATCTAACACATTAAGTAATTACATTTACAATTAACAGTGAAAGAGGAATTAGAGAGAAAACAAAGAATAAGAAAGTTTGGACAAATGATATGTAGCACAGAGAATTCCCCCCCCCCCTTTCTAGTTAGGGGTATATGGTGATTGTCATAGTACTATGTAGCTTTCTGATCTCAATATGTCCCTTCTTTGGGCCATATATTTTTGTATGAATGGAAGTGTATGAGAATCAGCTTTTACATCCACAAGAATTTTCTGAGTTGTGTAATATATTAGAGACAGAATTATATGCGATCTGTACTATGCATAATATATGCATTACTGTGTACAGAACGGAAAAACTCTGGGACTTAATTGATTCCAATGCATCATAAAGTCAAATCCATTTCCACACTGGTTAACTTCTCAGACAAAATGTCTCAATCCATCCTCATCCCCTCAGTGTGAAAAATGCACTAGATTTTTGCTGTCAAGATAGTTGTGATAAGAATTGGAACATTAATGAGCAACCTTACAAAGCTCTTGGAGTGAAACATTGTGTAAACTATACAACTGCTTTATCTATGATAGTTGAATCATAAACCACTGTACTGAAGGTGAGGATAAAAACAGATTTATTGTGAGGACAGTGCCATAAATAAAATATACAAGCAACTTCATACTTTTACCATTGATTGTGGGGGGGGGGGAGACAGTAGCAACAGCCATAATGAATCAGTTACTTATTCTTCTGTGTATTCAAGCAGCTGGATATTTAAATGTCAATTGTAAGTTAAAATATGATTACAAAACAAAACACAGAACTCCTTGAGTATCTTTGCAGAGGTAAGTAAAATAATGCTCTGGTAGTTTCCAGGAGGGATTTATAATCTCAGCACATCTGGAAGCTACCAGATGGAGAAAGCTGCTTTCATTATAATCTAGCACATGTTACAGGGACTGTTTATAGAGGCTGCAAGACACTAATTAATTAATAGCTCTTCTTATCAGTCTAGTTTAGATGTTCTTAGTTCAGATACCTTTCTCCTTTTCATGTAGAAATTGGGATCTTATGGCATTCCATCCCAATGGAATGATAATTAATATGTAACTTCATCCCAGTGATGCTTCGATGTGTGAAATGTATATGCAATATAAAATACACATCATTCTTACTGGAGATGACACTAGCCAATACAGTATAAATATATCAACAGGCTACTTTTGTTATTTTACATGTTATAGATGTAGTATGTGGCAGCCACCCTCCACCATACTGAATTTTGGCAGTCTATAAAGATGAGAAATAAATTTATCCTCCGTAAAAGTTATGAGCATGCATTTATTAAACAGCATTATATTTAACAGCTGGAGTAAGGTAGAGGCTTTTCCAAATTGTCAGAGTCTGTGAGAATTTCTATGCAAGGCAGTTATTGACCATGCTGGTTAGGCAATCTGAAAGGGTGCTAAACTGGAGAAAAATGCAGTGGTCTAAGGGCACTGAGCTGTTTTGAAAGCATCTCCAGCGTTTCTATGCCTTCAGTAATGTTTTAGAACTGAGCTGATTGTGGTTTGCTTTCCCCACTAGAGGGCTCTCTTCCCCCATCGTCCCCTCCGACTCATAATTTGTAAGAGGAATGGGAGCTTGCTGGCTTTTCAGCTCCTCCTCAATACTTCATGTAAAGGAGCGAGGCTGAAACCCTCAAGACTTTTCTAGTTTCCTAACCTAACCTGACCCTGGCCTGACCGTAACCCTAAGTCTTCAGTTCTGGATGAACCCACTTGCAAAATCCTTCCTGATATATATGGTTGTTATACTGTTATGTTATTGGATCTGCAGCAGCTTTTAGATATTCACCCCTCGTTGTCAGCATTCCAGATCGTCAGAGACAAAGGAAAGCAGGGCTTCCCTTGAGATTCCTTCTGAGAATTTGAGGAGTGAAAATGATGGATGTAGGGATGTGTTCTTTGAGAATCTGGAATATGTAATACAGGGCACATACAATATATGCCAAGCTGAATCTTCTTCTTCTTGTGCCATATCCGTTATCGGACGTTGGCGATCATGTTGGCGGTCCTGTTTTTATCAGCAGCCGCACGAAAAAGTGCTGCTGAGTTTTGTCCAAACCAGTCCCTTAGATTTTGAAGCCATGATGTTCTTCTTCTGCCTGGACCTCGTTTGCCTTCAATCTTTCCCTGGATAATAATAATAATAATAATAATAATAATAATAATAATAATAATAATAATAATAATAATAATAATAATAATAATAATAATAATAATAATAATAATAATAATAATAATAAAGTTGGAAG